GCATCAACTCAATTCAACTTAACGCTACGACATCTCGCGTTACATAGCTGGCAATAGTGGTCTCCGACATCCACCCTCTCAAACGAACCCGAACAATATTCGCTACAATCATTATTATTATCATAATTATCGTGGTCAGTTTGTGCCATTATTATTATTATTATTGTTATTATTATTATTATCATCATTATTATTATGACTATTGATAATCATTTACTATTATATATTGCTTTATTTCATGCAAAAAAATTTTTTTTTGAAAATTTTAGAGAAAAAAGAACGAATTAATCACTGCTTCATATTTTGTATTATATGAAATGGTTGGTAATATAAATTAAAACTAATCATTTCACTATTTTAATTTGAAATATTTGAAATTGTTTGTATTTTTTTTCAATTTATGAATTTTTTTCCAATTTTTTTCTTTTGCTATCATTTAATTTAATGCAAATTAATTAATTTGACTTAAACTCACTTTTTGCCAAATTTCCTCTTTTGTTTTATTCAGAAAAAAAAAGAAAAATACTCGCATTTATAAAGATGTAAGTGATTTACCGGTCGAATTATTGGGTAATGGTGGTAGACCGAAAAGTTTCGTTCTTTTGGGAATTGAAAAAAGCGGAAATTTTGGCAAATAATACGGTATATTTGGTAGACTAAAGATTTTAGCTATCGTAGTAATATCATGCAAACCAGGCAACTGTAAAATGAAAATAAAAAAATAAAATGATATTTAAATTCATTAATGATCAGTAGAATTTATTCAAAATATATGATTGAAAGGGTGTAATTAATTTGGTTTTCAATAAAACTCATTTGAATTTGAAAAACTAAGCAAAATTCAATATTTAAATCAATTAATTATATGCAATAAAACAGGAAATTCATAGATTCAAATATATATTTAAAGATTTTTTTTTAAATCTATTAATAAAATTAAACACTTACCTTTTGTGAATTGCTTAGAATGCATATTGATGTGAAGAAAAATGCAAATAATTGTAGCGAAGAAAGATTCATCACCTTAAAAAGAAAAAAAATTTATTGCCTTAAAAAAAGGAAAAATTAAAAATTATATTTAAATTTACAAGTTAATCAATATGAATGAATGGATGCAAATAAGAAAATAATAAAATGTAATATTTTGATTCAATAAAACATACCCAAAAATATTTTAATTATTCGAGAGAAATGAAACTAATTATTATAATAAGCAGATATTATTCATATTTTCAAATTTTTTATTAATAAAATTTTAATTAAAAAATTGAAACTTCGTTAGTTTTGTTTAAAAAATCAAAAATTTTATCAATGAATAAATGAAATGAAATTTTACATATGCAAAATGATAAATGTTTAAAAAGGATTAAGTTTATTGCCTTTCAGCAATGATTAAATTGTTTGAAATGACGAATATTAATGAATTGGATGAGAGGAGAAAGCTGTAACAATGGAATTGAAAAGATAAAAGAATTAATTATAATCGATAATTATTGGTATAGGACAAAATTGGACTTATCAATATCTGTCGCAATATTTTTCTAGCATTTAATGATGAGGATGATGATGATAAGGAAGAGAATTTCGATTCATTATTTCGCAAACAGGATCAGTTTCGCAGATGTAAAATTTCTCGAAATGAGCAAAGATGAAGTGAAGCGGGAAGTAGAAAGTGATGATAAGTAATGAGAAAAGAATGATGATAATATTTTTGTGAGTAGTAGATAGTTGAAAAAAGTTGGCTGATAAAAAGAGCAAAAAAGAAGGAAAGAAGGTAAGTAAAAATGGATTAAGTAAATAGGAATAATGTAATAATAAGTAATATTAA